CGAATATTAAACGCCAAGAACAGTGGCTCAGTCCTAGACAAAAACCACTTCCGACCCCCAAACCTGGACTCCATCCACAGAAAGTGATGCTTTGAATTGGGTGGGACATCAGAAGAGTAATTCATTTCGAACTCCTCAATCTACAACGAACTGTCAATGCAGAGATCTATAGTCAGCAACTGGAACGTTTAAATCAAGCCCTTCACTCGCCAATCGGAAAGGTGTTCTTCTTCTCCACGACAATGCATGTCTACATGTGGCACGTTTGATGCAACACAAGATTATGGAGTTGGGTTGGGAACTTCTCCCCACCCAGATATGGCACCATCAGATTACCATCTTTTTCGCTCGTTGCAATACTATCTTAATGGGAAAACGTATACAAATGTGGAAGGTATTAAAGAGAACATCGACATGTTTTGTTTTTTTGCTTCAAGGCCAAGTGATTTCTTTAATCAGGGCATAAACAACCTTATTGTAAGATGGAAAAGCATCATCGAAAAGAATGGAGAATATTTCATTTACTAGATGTTTTGTTTTGATATATAAGTTGTTCGGGTTTTTTCATTTTAAAAAAGCGACATTAATTTCTTGACGACCTAATACTTCCTGATACTTATGGACAAATGCTAGATAACTTCATTGGGTTAGGACACTGTGAAATAAAAAAAGTGCACTAGACATTATCAAATGCTAACAAAAATATCGTCCACATTCCTGAGAACTTGGATAGTACTTTTCCTGGTATATTTATCGTTTTAGGCCCAGCATGGCCAGGTAGTTAGAGCGCTTGACTCGCAATCTACTGGTCGCGGGGTTCGAATCCTTGTCTCACCAAGAATGCTCGCCCTTTCAACCGGGGAGGGGGCGTTATAATGTGATGGTCAATCACACTATTCGTTGGTAAAAGAGTAGCCCAAGAGTTGGCGGTGGATGGTGATGACTAGCTGCCTCCCCTCTAGTCTTACACTGCTAAATTAGGAACGGCTAGCACAGTTAGCCCTCATGTAGCTTTGCGCGAAATTCAAAACAAACGAACAAACATTTATCGTTTTCAAGCACAGTATTAAGATATATCGATGTCTCTTTAACATTCTTTACCAATATAAGTATTTAGAACAAATCTACGATACTCCATAATACTAATCATATGATACTATTATATTAATTCCTGCTCTTCAAAAGAAAACAGAAAATTTCCAAAATATTTCATTTACCTACGCAAACGATCCTCGTGCAATATCAGAACGTTCAGTGTCACTGACTTTATAAATATGGGTTCCAAGAACACATTTTGGACGTCCTATAGCACTAAACAATGGTGTATGATGATTTTTCTAAGGCGGTATTTGTAATATTTTGTGAATCATTCCCCACTACCCAGTTACTAAAAGTTGCAGTATTTTCTAAAGTTACATTTCAGTGATATTTGTATGAAGCATTTAATAGATGCTCTTAATCTTTAAAAAGAATAGTTCCGATCAGTTGATACATGCAGAGTCCTTCGTGAGGAATATGAAGGCCATGCCAGACCAAACTTCTAATAGCTTATACTAACCTTCCCCTTCATTCGACATTAATCCCATCTAATACTTCAGTCTTTTACCGTCAGATGGCGAGAGTAGTTGACCGATGATACAATATTTACATCAAGAGATCTGAATAGCTGATGTTTTATGACCTCATTCCACTGTAACAACTAACTGTTTGATAGGTTTATTTATCTTGCAAGCAACAGATTAGATCAGCTTATAATTATTTTGATTCCTTACTATCAGCTGACTTGAACAATTAAATTTTCGTAATGGACTTGGTATATTTCCGTAGTGATCTTTTAGAGATGTCAGAGAATCGTACTCTTGCTATGCACATATATTAATACTCTTATGAATGTCCATAATATACGTAGTGTCTTCCTATGGTGAACAATTCGTAGATATTCGTATGTGGTGACAGTCCTTTTTTTGATAATCTGTGAAAAAGGTAAGGCACACAAAAAATGTCTACAATGACGGAAAAAAATATCTATAAGTAGTAAACTTCTCAAGGATTTCAGCTGGCCCTGCTGTTATCGGTTCAACAGAAAGATACTCTCCTAAATATGAATAAAATATTAATGTTATCTATCAGAAGATAAACATCTACGACGTTATCTATTGAAGTGGACATTTTAATACTTTTATTTAGTTTATTCAAGTAGTGTGAAGAAAACTACTAGATTTTGTTTTGTTATAGTGCATGTAGATTGTTGAATAATAATCGGAAGAAACAAGCTCAAATGCTAACTTGAAATGTTGTCTTTGAACACTTTGTGAATTCTACACATTATTTTACTCTTAAAAATAAGATATTTTATTATCATTCAAGAATAACTTTAACAACAAACTAAACTCTGTTAAATCATTATATTAGTGGACGTTTACCACTTCATAAAAAAGCAAGTTAATAGGCTTGCCAAAGACGTCGCTTGAGTCTGATACTACTTAGTCGTTATTCTGTTTTTTTTGGGTCCTCCCTGCGAGTATTCGGTAAATTTACAGACTTACAACGCTAAAATCCGGTATTCGATTCTCAGCGGTGGGCAGAATGTTGATAGTCCATTATGCGCGTTTGAGCAAAAACAAACAAAGATCTGTTCTTTGATTTACTAGGAGTTTCGATTAAACCTCTAAAGATGTATGTTTTATTTATCGCAGCACTCATATCCCAGAAACAATATCTGTTTATTATCTCCGGAGTATATTATAAGGTTATATTTCGTACATTTTGTTCTTTAGCGCAAAGCTGCACAACGGACTATCTTCGCTGTATACGCTGAGGTGATCGAACCCCAAATATAGAGTTATAAGCCTCGCACTTACGCTAATCTACTGGATAATAATTGGTAAAGACAAGTTGGTCGTGAGCTGAGCAACAGTGTACATTGTATTTCTTAGCTAAACATTAATAAAAGTCTACAGTAAAGATAGGCCATTGTCATGCTAGTCATTTCGACATAATAATATTAAGGAACAAACCCTATACATCAGAATTTGAAGATTATCTTAGCAATTCTGATTTACCTATATCTGTCTCTAGGGAGTTTAAA